CCCCCCTCCCCCTCCCCTCTCGGTGTTTGCCATCGGGATCGGGTTTTCGTCGATTGGCAAAGACGTTGTAAAACAAAACAAACAGTTCACTTCGTGAACTCGACAACCAGGTTACCGTTTTTTTTTTTCCTCTGTTCGTTTTTTTGGCGGTATTCAAACGGTGGTCGAGTAGATCATGTTGTGCGGGGTGGAGAACCCTCGCTCCGTGCAAGGGGGATGATCACACCGCGTTGTGTTAAAATGGTCAAGCATCCTCGAGGCAGTTACACAACTGTAGTGCTTATAACGGGCTTTGGACGTGNTTGGTGATATGAGAGCCTGGTCCGGTGAGAACCCGGCGTGCTCCGTCCCATCTTTGTAGCAATGCGAGGGCAATGGTCTAACGACTATGAACACCCCTCCCCCCCCCCCCATGGAATGAAAACTTAGCAAAGGGTAGACGAGGGTTGAAAATTGCGAGTCCGTCGTCAGATTTTCCAAGTTGATTGATGGTACCGAGTACCGAGTCACAGCTATCCCAAAATGCCAAAAAGTGGGGGTGGAAGACCAGCATCCCCTCCCGTCGTAACCTTCACAAGCCGGCATTGAAGGGCTGAAGTCTCGGTTGTGGGTGGTTTGGGGGTTGGGATCAAGAATCTTGCATCAGCATGGGCCGATTTTTTCGTCGTATTCTTTTAAGAAACAAGCGTGACGTAGTGACGTAGTCTATTCCTGGAGGGTTCTACCACAATCAATCTCGTTTCTTAATTTAATCTGGTGCAGCTGCGTTTTGGTCTGGGGGTATCTTTCCGGGTGGCCCTACCTCGCCTAAATTGGCCAAGCGGAATCGATTACTGAAACGTGTTGTAGAAAAACCAAGCCAATCGGGAGTGTAGCGAATGTTTTTCTTTGGAAGTTCCGCACCGAACGTTCTTCTTTTTACAGTGTTGTTGTTGGCGTTGTTTCTCACGTTTACTCTTAAGACTAGTCCACAAAAACGCGGAGCCCGTGGTCTCAAAAACCTGGCACATACGACCCTGCGGGGACTATGTATGCGGCTTTGAAAGCGATGATAAAAACCCGTTTTAAGCAATCTCTTTTTTTCAGCTGCGCCGGGCGAAAAGGCTCCCTGAGTGGAAGGTAATCTGTGTGGTGTGGGTGAGGGAAACTTCAATCGTAACATCCGTCACACACGCACCTGAAACACAAGTCCGCCACGCTCTACTGAGGCCCTCTTCACTCCCGATGGCTGCGCGCGGCCGAGTCCCTGCGCCGCCAAAAAACCGACAGGGTATCGCGCGCAGGTTGTCAAACCAATACTGCTGTTTGTTGTACATTTGACGTGGACATCTACATATACGAGGGACTGAACAATAGTTGGGGAACATGACTTTTTCGGTACTTTGTACCATCGGCGCAACAGTAGCGCAGACAGACGTGACCGACGAACGGTAGTGGGCTACGCAAATCACCATCCACGTAATTCAAAGTATCAATTTCAGTGAGAGGTACAACCCACGCATCGTTGTCTCAAAGAGGCCCACGGGACTCAGGTGCTATGATCGTACTGCTGTAGCAACATAATGTTCGTCCGCGTCAACAGACACGCTCTAGGTTCTGGGGAAAGTGATAATTGAGAATAACTGCCCGTTGTGTACCCGTCGTAGACAACGTTGTTGGAAAAAACGGAGGCACTCACAACCTCACCAACGCCACCGAGAGTCCCACACCCAGCTTCAGCAAGGAGACACCCATTCCGAAAGCAGGCCCGCGATTTCGACGGCGACCCGTTGTAGGCTTTCTGTACACGTGGGGATGAAATACCTGCAAGGAGCAAACGCAAACGGACAGCAGGGGCAAGTCAAAACGACACAGACAGGCGGTTGTCCAGTGTTCTATGATTGTTGAACGTCTGCTATGTCGGGCCGCACCTCAACACAGCAGTAGTAACGGACTGCGGTGATTCACCAGGGGATGGTTTCGTTCGTTCGGTAAACACGAAAATGAGTTGCAAGTGGGACATGTTCCCCATGACAAAATTTGAAGTCTTTCAAGACAGCGCATATCTGGAGTTTGAAGGGCAGGCTGCTGAAATCACGACCCAGCGCAGATGCGAGACCATGAGATCTGAACTCACAACGCCCTAGTGTGAAGGGGTGGCGGGCTGAGAGGCCACCAAAGGCACGAACGATCAGAACGATCCACGAACAATCCATGTACCATTTGTACTCCGAGTAATGTACTGCTGCACAGAAGTATGAAGGCAAGAAGAGAAACGTACTTCGAAAAGCGCCGACGGAAAAACACACAAAAAATACAATATGGCCTGTCTTTGTGCCGGCTTACACGCGCAGAGGTGTCTGGGAATTTGTCACGGCTTCACCAATCGTAGAGGTGGATATGGACAAGGTAAGGCAAACAAACAGCTAAACGGACTTGTCCAACGCATGACAGCACCAGCAACGCAAATATTTGTATAAGAGTCATCCGCGATTGATTCAAAGATGGGAGACTTAAGCACGAAACACAAGGCACCAACCTTTTGCGGCCGCGGGCGCAGTGACGTATGTATCCTTGGGGTTCGACACTATCTGACAGGATAGAGAAAGCGGCCTGCCCGTGTACGTCTGCCAGAGCGAAGAGAAGACCGAGCGTGTCTGTTCGGGACGGACAGACAGATTTGATCGATGGTGTCGTGTGTGGGTGTGTGGTTTGCCACCACCCAGCCACCACCCAAAGTCCCCAAACAGCGGGAACCAAAACGAACACAAGGAATTCTCAAGTCTTTCCGACGACACGCAAACATCTGCACAGGTCCTTCCCATCATATACATGGATTTTTGATTTTTGAACGTTGACAGAAGGATCACTCACATGCGGAGGGGCGCCGATAACCCATGATTTCCACAATGAGGGGCCGATTGCCAGGTCTCCTGTGTGCGCCCAGCAGATTTATTTTGATGGATCATAGTTAAAGCCAAGTGGGGACACGCCTGTTCTTCGAGAATCTATCGTGTGAGGTGTACATTACAATATATGAGTAAACCCTCCCGCCACGAATGCCCTGCTGCCATTTGCACTGGGTTGCGATTAGACCACGCTTGGAGTCTCACATGTGTATGTCCGCAAGCTGTGTGTAGTACGCAAGCCCACGACCAAAACTCCTCAGGGCAGAGCTCAACAATCCCCCAACCAAACCAAACCAGGTAAGATGGAACCGCAGCGATCTCAGAAGTCCGAGTTGGCTGGTCCATCAAGTTGTACCCTGGCCTACAGCATTTCAAGCGCAAACAGCTTTCGTGTGCTCGCAGCGCTCGGAATCCTGACTCAGAACAGTTAACTTGTTCTTGTTCCGGACACTTTTTTTGTGCGCTGAAAGTGATAACGGATCTCTGCGTTCTTGCGAACCACACCTCGTGCCTGAATGCCTGAACGTCGCTCCACGAGTCGAGATTAGCGGTGAAACAGACTCTGCTGTTGCATTATGTACACTCTCCTGTGTACTCTCCTGGTTTCCGACGGTAACAAAGTTGACAACGCTGCGTGTTCGTGGAGGATCGAATATTGGTAAGTTCGGTGCGTCCGATGTCCCCCCACGACGAGGTGAGGACCTCGGCTCAGCATGTTTGCGCGCGTCCCAAGGAGGCTAAAAAAATAACTGCTTATTAGACGGGTCTAGCGGTGTCACGGGACGACCTGGGCATGACGATGGTGACCACCGCGAAGGTAAAGTCTGAGCGAGGGCACAGCCTGGAGTTTTGCGCACAGCAATCCGGGCAAGGGCATGTTGAGAGAGGTCTGGAGGTCGAGGTGCGGTTGATTACTGCCTGCTGACTGCCGTCGTACAGCAGTACAGCAGCAGAGGTCCCCATGTAGTCTACATGGATGGATGCCACCGGCAGATGTACCTATTACTCGTATTAATAGCAGTGCTGCTGCTGCAATACCGAGTTGAGAGGTGAGAGTTCAGTGGTAGGCTGCTCAGTTGAGACAAACAAAGGAAGGGCAAGCGTCCAACCGGCGCCCTCTGTTCTGGGCATCACAGCGGTACACTATCATGCTTTAACTTGCACCTGTCTTAGTCTATGTGTTGGCCGAGGATGGAGGTGGAGTTTGTAGATCTTCTCTTCGGCGAGAAGCAAGAACGCCTCCCAAGTTAGGTTTTAAACGCCCAGTTTAAGCACGGATCTACATACCGTCGCATCAGTGCGTCCGCCCACGCCGCGGGTGTACACCAGTGCTAGCTTGCGATGCACCTAATGCTTTAACTTGCGCCTCGCAACTTCTGAACCCAACCCTCTTCGTCGAGTTCAGCGAGGATGCGATGCAGCCGTGGTGCGGTGGTTGATTTTCCTAGACGGTAGACTAGGCAGTCTACAAGCGCACGATGTGTGAGCTGGGCTGAAGTCAGCCCTGACACGCGTTGAAATAGGCACTGGTTTGCGGTCATTGCTGTGTTGTGCTTGACGCGTTCGATACTCGGACCGCACAGCGCATCCAAAATCTACCCTGCTCGTACGCGATCACACAAGCACAAAAAAAAAACACTGAAGTACAATCAGTAGTAGCAAGGCCGGCCCCGGCGGTGGTCGTCAATCGAGTGTCTCTCGAAAACGTCGAGTGTCACTGGAAAACCTATGAATACAACCGCGGCAGTCCAGACAGCCTTCTGTACGTGACCAAGGTCTTCTGTGAATCATTTCCTCACCCCCGTTTGCGTGTGCATGCTTTCCACGTATGCATAGATGCACCCAAAATATATCAGGTGCCAAGACGGTACACACCAAGAGCCCATAAATAATACCAAGTACTAAGTAATAGAAGTAACGCGATGATAACGCTCGACGACTAAATGAGTCAATTGCAACTGACGTCGGACTGAGAAAACAGCAAGCAAACCCATGCCCAAACCTTGTCACAGATCTGGAGACACCTTGCCAAATTCTGCGAATCCCCCAATAAGAACATCAGCAGTAGGGTGGAAATGCCAGCTACAACAGAGTGCCCTCCCCGCCCCTTTTCCAACTCATGTTTACACCAAAACTGCCCATCTGTGCGAGCACCTGTCAACTTTTTTGAGATTGAAAGGTAGGTTGTACTTCAACTGCCTTCTCCCTATAGTGCGAATATGGAAACGCTTGCCGCTGCACCTCTTGATTGCACTGGGCGACTTCTGCCCAGGAATATAGAATACGCCTGTGACCGTGAGTCGCCGCCATTTTACCCGCCGAAGGAAAAAAATCATCATTACCACCGAAGAGAAAAAGAAAACGGAAGCGCACGCGACTATTTGGGTATCAACGAAATCGTTGAGGTGTCCTGGTTTGGAAACGAACCAATATATCACTACGAACCTCCGGTGAAAATATGCCTAGATTTACAATTGAGAGACAAACTGCCATTGCTTTACAAAAAACACCAATCAGGAGAGGCAACGTCTGCATCTGCGCATCCCCATTCGATTCCGTCCATCGAAACGGCAAACCAATACCCCAAATATACAAATCCCAAACTATCATACAGTATGGAAAATCGAAAATTCCAAGACGAAATATGGAGCCATCAATACTCCGACAGACGCCCGAGACGAGAATAAAATCAGAAAAGAAGCGCTCGAATAGTCAGACGCCGAAGGTGACACTTGGGACAAACAGGATATATACAAAAAGACCATCGCCCCCACTCGAACATGCAAGGCCAAGCGAAACAAAACAGGTACAGTTCACCAATCAGAACGAATAAAACCCCACTGGCATGATTCTACTCATCACAAATATCGCTGTTGTAGCCCCGCAAGGCCACGCCGTACTTGTCAAACCCGTTTTGTTCCGAGGACATTCCGCCATGGTCTACAACCCAGCGATGCCTCCAAGTTATCCCTGAGCAGCTTGGGGTACGCTTGGCCTACTGCAGGCGTCACAGGCTACACACGCACACCCACCTACTTCTCTCTCCTTCTTCCTGGAACAGCAGCAAGACCAACAGCAGTAGTAGTGGACCAAACTGCCACAGGTGCTATTCAAGGGCTGTAAGCGCAGTCAAAGTGTGCACACGTCCTGCTTGCCTGGCGCAATATATTCTCTTCACCACGCAAAGACTACCATCGTCGGAGGGAGACAATGTTCTCTAGCGTACTGCGACTTGCGTCCCAGCACCCGCAATTTTTTCATCCTGTTCGCTCCTCCCTCGCCATCACAATGACAGCGGTCTCCAACGTGGTGTGCAACTCTGAACGGGAAGGCACATGGCTGACCCTAACTCCATCAAATTTTACAGTACTTGGGAGACAAAATCAAAGTGCGAGCCTTCCCCCAATGTCACCACACCTCGATCCACGCACCAAGTCCCCCGCAAGGGCGAAGGGACAGCTCAACGTCTCACCAACCGCAAGAGCCTTTGCCAACGACACTTTCTGGGAAAACATAGGACGGTAGACGACGAGGACGACAAGTAAGTTCAAATGTGATTGCGGCTTCGAATGCGAAGACCGTGGTCATGTAGTAGCGGAATGTCAGTAGTACAAGAAGGAAAGGGAAGTGTACATGACCGAGCTGGGAAAAATAGCAGGGACGTACAGGGAGATGTTTGAAGCAAGGCATAGAGAGGAAAGGACGGTACCTTTACTGGGGAGTAGGAAGTGGTTTGAAAAGGCGGGAAGGGATATCGTTAGGATGGACAGGCAAGGGAAGACATTTCTGAGCGACCTTTGGCAAAGTAGGAAGGAACGATTGGCTATCGGTATTCGATCCTGTGGGAACAATGCTCCGTCCTCTCGAGGACGCGTGGTCGATGGTCTAACCGCTAAGTCATGCAAAGCATTAGGGTACGCCCCCCCCTCCCCCGGTGTTTGCCATCGGGGTTGGGCTTTCGTCGCTTGGCAGCGACGTTGTAAAACAAGCCGCCCCCTCGGTGTTTGCCATCGGGATTGGGTTTTCGTCGCTTGGCAACGACGTTGTAAAACAAGCCAATTCACTTCGTGAACTCGGCAACCAGGTTACCGTTTTTTTTTTTTCACCTCTGTTTTTTGTTTTGGCGGTAACCATAATGGTGGTCGAGTAGATCATGTTGTGCGGGGTGGAGAACCCTCACTCCGCGCAAGGGGGATGATCGCACCACGTTGTGTTAAAATGGTCAAGCACCCTCGAGGCAGTTACACAGTGCTTACAACTGTCTCTGGAAGTGAAAGCACCAGAAAATAAATTAAGTCATACGCAGCAGTCATCCATACGCATGGAAGTAAGCACGAGATGCCGAACACCCTTAGCAGGATGCAGCGCACCCTTCATGCGACTCGCCGAATACCTCACGGCGCTTCGCGCTTGGTGATGTGAGAGCCTGGTCCGGTGAGAACCCGTCGTGCTCCGTCCCGGCTTTGTAGGGATGCGAGGTCAATGGTCTAACGACTACGGCATGCACGACTATGAGTACCCCCCCCCCCCCTCCGCCCCCAGAGTACATTGGCTCATACCCTAGGACGAACATGAAGTATCCACACGATACTGCGATGATCGCGGTCCGCTGTCACACACAGTCCGCTCGAATCCACACGTGGGATAGAGTAGTCGTACATGACTTCATCACTGCCAATGTGATTGGCAAAGGCGGCGCCCACCACTTTTTGTACTTTGGTGTCACCTTCACGCCCCCCATGACCGCAGCTACACTCCCGACGAGATTGTAAGCGTCCGCTTCGTCCAACCATTTTGCCAGCGCTGCAACCCA